ACGAGAGACACAGTCTGGGTATCATACTCCTGGTCCTGGGACAGGCGCAGGGTAGTGGCAGACGGTTCGTTCTTACGCACCTCTCCCAGCCAACTTCGAACCTAGCTGAGTATGATCCAAGGAGCCTTGCAGGCATCAATGGCCGCTTCCCGGTGACTGCGGTTCATGAGGGTCTCGAGAAAACATTCCAGGCGAAGTAGCGCTGCGAACTCGACCTGCAGTAAACCCCAGTTAGACAGGTGACTGGAAGCACAAAGCAACCTTGCCAACAGTTTCCAGTGTCGAGTTCCAACATTCATCAAGTGCAAATTGCGGGCCAAACCAGGAACATCTGAAGTCTCAGAATAAGCATCTGTCTAAGATCGACTATTTGTTTTCTGAGGAAATCCCAAACTTTCGCAAGCAAATACTTGCTGCTGCCCTCTTCTTGATGCTCGTTGATGTGCTTGTGCAGCCCTCGTGGCCTTGAGGGTCTTCTCCTGCTGTCGCGCATTTGTTAACAGCGCGTCGTGGCTTGCGCGGCGCTGCTTGTAGCATGCTTCCTCAGCAAGGCGACAAGCAGCGGCGTTCGTACAGCATCATGCTCGCCAAAAAAAAATGTCCTCTTCTTGTTGTTCTTCTGTGCGCTGTGCCCTCAACTGCTCTGCCAAAAGGCCTCTGCACTGCAGTTCGCCAATGCCGCATCGTACGAATCACAAGCTGCTTGGTCCAACAGCAGCTGCTTAGCATCGCAGCTTTCCGTCAAGGATGTTAGATCCTGACCGCTCGGTGCTGTCGCAAAGACATAAAAGCAGGGGACGGCTACTGAGTAGCCCCATGTTAAATATCAGCTGCCTTCTGGACGGTGGAACATGTGCCCATCTTCGTCACATGCGCAGATCGAGCCTTGGGTAAAAGGCTGTGCAAGAGAGTGGAGCTTGAAGCCGTGTTCTACAAACTCAATCAGTTGACAATTGACAATGGCAGGTACTGGTGAGTACTTCAAGATCCTCTCGAAGGACATCTTGAAGTGCTCGTTTGCACAACGAGCGGCTGCATCGCATCTGGCTTCAGATTGTGCCAGCCGTTCCTTCGCCCAATGGAGCTCGGTCAACATCCGTGCCTTGCAAGTTAGCTTGCTGCATCGGACGCACTGTCTGCCTTGCGAGTCCCGACATGCAAGTCAAGCAGCATACCATCCAGTCGCATTCTCTCCAGCTTGCATGGTGCAGGACACTCTTGGGATCTGATTAAGCTCATCGAATGCACCTCAACAGTACTCAGTGTCGGGTCTTGGACATGTGGTAAAAACAGAGTGAGGCCAGGGACGGCAATGCTCATCGCTTGCAGCCCGAAGGGACTCCAATTCGGAGGTGCAGGTGCTGTTCTTGTACATTGCCGCCGACTGCAAGGGGGAACATTCCATCAGGAAGACTTGTGCCCATGCCCCGTTCATGGCAAGACATCTTTGCTCTTTACAAGCTATTTTCCAACGGCGTGCTTTCAAAAGAAACTTCATGGAAAGGGCCCCAAGCATTTCCAGCATACCATCGGAAAAATCAGAACGAGCAATTGTATACCAATCCTCGGCATGGCGGCATTGTGCGTGTTCGTCGCTGAGGAGAGCAGTCTTCGTGACGTCCAGTGTTGCCTGCAGGCCCCATGAGCTAGCACAAGGATGTCAGCGAAAGACAGCTTTGCCACTGCTTCAGGCTGCCTTGCATTCCTCGAAGTGATGAGGGGCATCATCAAGTTGTGCCTTGCGTGAAGGCTGAGAGGCCTTCTCCACTTTCTGGCAGCAGCCCTCGCCCCAGAGTTTGAACAGCATGCACAGCTGCCTGAAGGGCATGGTGTTGCTGGAGGAGGTGGGGCATCACCGTGTCCTTAAGGCTGAGCCGTCTGCACGTGAACCCTCGAACACACGCATCCATGCTTTGGTCTGCTTTTGCCTGTCGCACCTTCATGTCATCGGGACAAGAGCAAATATATCAAGCAGCACGGAGTTGCTGGGCCTCTATCGGACTGGCAAGCAAAGTGCTGACAGCCTGTCATTCCTTCGATGCCTCAATTCGCCTGTACCTGGGTAGCCACCCTGCGGGTTGGGCCCCTGCATATCCTATTGTCTACCAAGGTCCGCTTCTCATGACTAGCAATGGACACACAACATCACGGGCTCGTTTCAGCCAGAACTCTCTCAGCAACGCCTTGATTTGGCGCAGCAGCTCCTAGCAAAGGGACACTCTCATCCCACCTACAAAGAACTCAAGAAAAGGTCCCCTCACCTCATGAATAAAACGAGATTCCACCGATGTCAGAACCATGCAGCTGAGATTTTGTTTTCAAGCAGAGAAGAGCGGAATCTCGTGAAAATTCTAGATCGGCCCTCTCCTCTTTCATACTTTTTGTTTTAATGGGAAGTAAAGCCATTCACCTCTGACAAAAACAGCTAGACTTCATTGACTTCATATTCCGCTATATCGAAATAGCAGGGCTCTTGTTTTTGGTAGGACACCCGTTCGTGCGCCCTGTGTTTCTGAGTTTCTGGCGGGGAGGGGGCTTGGGAGCGTCCATGCCGACCAAAAAATTTCTGGCTGCCGAATGACATGGCGGCTCATTTGCAGCTGTGTGGCTGTCGAACTTGTTTAGCCTTGCCATGGCACCACTGCGTTTTCTGAGGATCTGTCTGGCGCTGTCCGTGAACCAGCACATCATCGGGACCAACCCTCCAGCAGTACTGAAACTACAGCTTGAAGGGTCAGGGTACAGGATTCAGGGTCTTTTTTACGTTTTCCCGTTGCTGGTTTGCCAGCTGACGGTCTGTGGTTTACGCTTCAGGGTTCAGACCATCAGATTTGAAGTTTCGTAACGACCTGACAACTCCCGTAGCAAGCTTCAAGATAAGGAGAGAAACAAAAAAGCCCGAGTGATTTGGGCCTTTTGTCCTGGTGCCCACACCGAGAATTGGTCTGAAACCTTGGCGTTATTCACATTCTTCGTCTCACACACTGCCATGCATGGCCCAAACGCAGGGCGCACGAAGACGCCTCCTACCTTGTTTTTGCGCATGAAGTAAGATCCCCCTATCCTTCATGTTGCAAAATTGCAGAAAATCCTGGTTTCGTGTCTTTCAATCCAGGGATTTCGCCTTTCTCTTGCTGCTAATTCTGCACGCAAAAGCAATGACTTTTTCTAATTCACGACGAATGTGAAATCTTCTGCACGAGCCCACATGACTTCCATGCAGACGGCAAGGATTAAGCGCATATATTGTATATGATGTACATACTTCTTTTAGCGATTGCCGATTTGCCAAGGGAGATGCTTTCTGTCCTTGCAATCAGCGCGACAGATGCGCTTTTTTCTACGGGGAAATGACGGATTTTGGCCGTATTCTTACCAAATTTCACATCGTGAACAATGTACGCGACTTTTGCACGAACCTGCATGACTTCTCTGCAGGCAACGAGGCTTGCAGCTCATCGTACTGCTTCAAAGCGGTCTTGGTGTATGGTTTTCCCCGTAAATTCCACGGGCAGAATGCTCTTTTTTGCCCGTATATAATCCCAGCAAAAAGAAAATCAGTCCCCTCGAGTTGAGGATAAACCACATATTGCGTCGCACGTGACGGTCTGTCTGTGCATATTTTTTGGTAGCTGTGCGACCATGCTAAAATCCTTCGTGTATGCAATCTGTTTGGGATCTGTGCTTGTAAACATACACACACATACATGTGTATATATATATATACATATATATATATATGTATATACATATGTTTCTACATACATACATACATACATACATACATACATACATACATACATACATACATACATACATACATACACACACACATACACACATACACACATACATACATACATACATACATACATACATACATACATACATACATACATACATACATACATACATACATACATACATACATACATACATACATACATACATACATACATACATACATACATACATACATACATTACATACAGACATACATATATATACGTCTATATATGTCGCAGTGCGTGGAGATATGTCAGAACTCTCTCGGCATCTATTACCAACACAACGCGCCGCAACTACGGCTTGTGCTCCGGTACACGCCCTGATGTCTGCTTCTCCTGGTTGACGGGCTCTGCACCACGCCGCATCAAGCCAGCCACAGCTGCTTCCATGCCTAGGCCAGAGAATCCGGGATCACCTAGTAATACCTAGTATATCTGTGTGTATAGCTTTATATATATATATATACATGCATACATACATAGGAAGATATATGATGCCTCTTCGATACAAACCCACGGGCACAACGACCACGTTTTCAGTCTGCAAAGCACCGCAGCAAATCGAGGCTGATGCTATGGACCGACGGGGCGTGAACTTCGTGTGCCTCAGACAACGGACGCAATTCTAACGATATGAAAGGACTGCACCGGACGATGAGACTACCGGCACATCTATGCTTGAAACGAAACTAGAAACAAGGGCCCTGCTACCTTTGACCGCAGCGCAGCTGCTGCAAGCGCCGGGAGCAGCGCAAGCAAAATCTCGCCAGAGGGTGATTTCAACCAGTCTGGAACACTTCCCTATTCGATACTTCGTATGAAGTGGATAGATGGGAGGACTCCAGGACACGAGGTGCAGAAGTGACCTCCTTCTCTTCTGGCCGCTGGGCCGGCTTGATCCTAGCCCTGGCCCCTTACAAGACGTGTCAAGAATACGCAGTGAAAGCATGAAAGGCACTCGCCAACACTTGAGCGCCCCGGCACTCCAAAGCCAAAATCCCACCACAATCGCACTACGATGCCAGCCTTCATTGGTTATGGTCTGGTCCATGGGCTCATTCGCTCAACAGCAAGGCTTTGGCTGCACGTGGCTGCGATGGCACGTGCAATGTTCACGCTAGACTCTGACCACGCACACCGCTTTCGATACAGAATCTCCGAATCCCCAACACATTCCGCAAGAGGATAGCATAGGACAGCTGGGTTTGAAGCATCAGCCTTCGCGCTGCCAGCCTTGGTTTCGCGATGTCTTGCATCAGAGACAAGGTGAAAAAGAAACCTCAGGTCGGCACAGAACTGGCTTGGGATCCTTCAGCTCGTCCGGATGATGGGCTTTGCCCGCCCTGGCGCAGGCTCCACCGCAACATAGCAAACGGCCCACATGTAGCGCCACAAGCGTGCCTGTGTGGAGAGAAGTGTAGGCTCCAAGGCAATCGTCACCATAGGTGGCAGTCTACCTGGCAATCAAGCCCAGATAGGCAAGAATCTGGCAAGAGGCATGTCCAACCATACTCTGTTTGTGGCACGCTGTATCTCGGTCTTTCGCTTCAAGGCGACTCAGATAAGATCGTGCGGTGCTACTGGCTGCCATCTTGACCAAAGTCACTGACACGGCATGCTGCTCGCTGCAATAAATGCGGCGAACACCGCACGAACCAACACTCGGCTACTGCCAAGCTAAGAAGTGCTGCTGCTGCAGCAGCAGCAGCAGGCAGCTGTGGCAGCTGTGGCAGCTGTGGCAGCTGTGGCAGCTGTGGCAGCCCACGCACATGGAGAAGGGAATCTGTCAGAGCCTCTATGAAGGGCCAGGGCCTGAACTGACGATCACCAGGGCAGCCCTGAGCACCTGCTGCTCATCCGAGCCTGTCACAAGAATCAACATAGGCTAAATAAAGACTAGTGACAGTGAGGCTTTAGCATGGCGATGCATGTTTGTCCCCTGCCTGGTGTCTTCAAGATCCATCCAGGGCGAAGCTCATTGCACACCACCTCCTGTGCAAAGTACACTGAGCGCAATCGCCTGGTCTTGGGACAACCACTACACTTGAGCAGTAACAGTTGCGCAACGACACCGCCTCCTTGTACTCCTCTGATGGAATCATGGAAACCGCTTCGTGAAGCTCTGGGTTGAACGCCTCGCCCACGCTGGACATCTTCTCAATGCCAAGGGACTTCCAGCTCTCCAACATCTTGTCAAAGAGCGCCTCGAACTTGGCAACTACTGATTTCTGGCCGTCGGTTTCGACTTTCAAGTTCTGTTTGGCATATTCAAACTCGTCAGCAATAGGAAGGAGTTCCTGCACCAATGGGACTGCGGCCTTACCCCGAGCTGCTGCAAGCTCGGATGACGTACGCTGCCGGAAATTGTCAATTTCCAACTTAAGTCGTGAGTGTGCAGCTTGCTTCTCCTCCTTGACAGTGTTGAGTTCTGCAATCTCTGCCGTCAACTTCTCTATGTTGGCCTTCGCGGCTTCGGACAACTCCTGCCCATGTCAACAACGCACACTGAAGCCACATGGCTGCCATGCCCTGGAACATATGCAAACAGCATTCCCAAACCTCAGTCGTCTCCGATTCTGCTTCAGACGATCTTCGTGCTGTAGGCGTTGGCCGAGTTTGAGTCATCCGGCCTTGTCGCGCCGACCGAAACCTCGGTGCACAAAGAAAACTAAACCCAAGACGGAGGAAGCTCAGTCTGCCAGGCGCGATTTGGGTTTGGCAACATTATGCCACCTGTGTTCGAAGGGTTGTCCAACCTTTTTTCACTACTGAACCAATCTTGATCACAATTTAGAACGATCGGCTGCCCTGGTCCCAAAAAGCTCGTCTGCGCCGCCAGCACTGCCGCCACTATGCCCGCAGCGAGCAGAGGCCTACGGCCCGCCATGGCAGGCTTCGCGGTGCGAGCGGAGAACTGTGATGGGCAGTGGCTGACTTCTACCTCAATCAAGACCAAAATCAATCCGAATGAACGCATCCACACACAAGGACCTCCAAAGCCACACTACAAGAGCGCAGCTTGACCTTTCAACCTTGCTGCAAAAATGCGCTCGCATCGTCGAATTCAAAAACACTGCGCACAGCATCTGTAAGAACCTTCGCTGCTGGCTTCAGCAGAAGGCGTACTCCTCAGCCGAAACGAGCATCAATGGCATATGATTTTCACGCGTCCCTCGCAAAAAAACCATGTCAACGCATGGTAAGACCAAAGCTGCGGATCCGCGCTTGGTCGGATGAGTATATCAGGCCTCAGCTTAAATTCAAGAAAACGACTACAATCTGTCGTCAGCAAAAGGAAACCATCAACATCGTAAAGCACAGCGCCGGGCCAAGCCGGTGGCAGAACAAATGCCACCTTTCACACACAAAAAGAAATGAATGCTTTTGCCGATGGCAGATAATTGCCATTATCGCGTCATGTCACTGGAAATCGAACTTGAGCAGAGTTTGTCGACATTTTGTGTGCAAACATCACGATATTTCACATCGTGCAACATGCACCTGCAGCACATTACTGCGTAAACAAGCTGGAAGAATAAGAATGCGGGGTGGACCGACGAGAAAAAAAAGTAACCACACGCTCGGAGTGGTCAGGCTGCTGGACAGCACCAGTGGACAGGCGGTGGTCAGGGTAATGGACAGTGGACAAGCTGGCAGGGAGGCTGATGGAGTGTCTCCTGCGACAAGTGCCACACTTGCACGCCACGCCAGCGTCCACCGATGGACAGGACAACGGGCCTCCGGGGAAACTTGTGGCGAAGCTGTCCCGGATTGTCCCTCCCCACGTTCACAAGTGTGCTGCACCGAGTCGCGGCAGTGGGGCGTGCCAGACGGTGGCTCAAGCCATTTTGGCTCAAGTGCTGCCATTGAACAGGAGAAATCGGTTGTCGAACATCCGTCAACAAATGCTTTCGTCATGATACCTGCGAGGTTATCGTCAGTGCTGGTTTTCTTGATGTTGAAAACAAATCTTTTAGTACAGAACGATCTCGCGCCATGGTTTCCGTGGTTTTCTGGTCAACCTCTGCCTGAGTTACTTGAGGCTCTGACCCTTGTGTGCCGCTCCCGCAGCGGGATAATAAGTACGGGACAAACTTACTGCCGCCAACATGCCTCGTGATATCTCCCGCACGCCCGTGATTGCACGTCGTTCCAGAGCAATGTCGCCTGGGCGGGTCGCAAATGCAATGGAGTCGCATGCGGCGGAAGCTGTGGCTGATGAAGCAGCTGCGGACTCAGTGCGTGTGGATCACGCACACATAGCATCCACTTGCCCAATTTGTTGTGATGAGCTTGGTGGAAACGTGCCGGTTTGGAATTGGCCATGTGCATGCCGGGTGACAATGCATCTAAACTGCGCAGTTCAGTTGCGCCTGACTCAGAGATGCCCTGCGTGCCCACAATGTCGCGGCGCATGGCCCGGCGCGAGTGCTGACAATGAACTGGAGGTTGCGTGTCGGGACAATGGCGTGCCAATTCAGCGTAATTGGCAAGCAGGCCCGTTACATGGCCATCACCCTGAAGAACCGCCAATGCCCGCCGAACCTCTTGATCTTGTTTTGCTTTGTTGTGAACGCTTAATTGCGCTTGGCATACCAGCAGGGAGCCGCCGCATGACGTGGGCTCCGCAGCAAATGTTTGAGCCCGATGCCCAAGGATGTCGTCGGCTTGTTGGTTGGATGGGTGACTGGGTTTGCAACTGTTGTGGTCGCACGCTTGGTCAGGACAACGCCATAGCGCGACAGTTGAGGGACCTGCACTCATGTGGCATGGGCACGCATTGTCGCTTGAGTATTGACTTTGCGCACGGAACGTTTACTTGGATGTGCGGCTTTTCAGGCCCCTTGCCCATTGAAAATCCGCAAGAGAATGTGCCCGTGCATGTTGGGCGCCCCCCCCAAACTTTGGATCAACACGGTGTCAATGCGACCCACTTACTTTTCCGGATTGCCCCCGCTCGTCAATGATGAGTCGACAAACTCATTCCTATATTGCCCGTTGCTTCTGCATGCGGGGCAGCTTTTACAGCCTGAAGCTGCAGAGGCTTGGGCTGGGGCGATCCCTTGGTTTGCAGATGCGTGTCGCCACCTCGCTGCGCACACTGTCAGCTTGAGCTTCCTCAATCGCGCATATGCCGAGTTGTTGCAGATTTCTTGTCAGCAGGACGTGTCGATGGTGCAGCACTTCAACCAAACCGGTGATGCTGCCGCAGCTGAGTGAAGCTAGTGCTGCTCAGCCAGATTTGGATGCCACACTGGGGGTCATCCTTCCGGGCGTCGTTGACCGTCATGGCCACATCCCGAATCAGCTGCAAGACTTCTTGTTGCAAGTTTTTGGCGGTTACCGCTTGGCTTCAGCGTTGGATTCTGCGGCCACTCACTTTCGAAACCATGGTGGTTGGCCACCATCCTTGCCTGCGTATGGTGATGCAGATGTGCCTGCTCATGCACCTCGCGTTATGCCGTCAGGTCCCAATAACGCGTTCCTTCCCGTGAGTCCCCTCCGCTTGACTTACGACTCGGGTGCGCCTGCGCAGCCTCTTGGAACCGGCCCCGCACGTTTGTCGCGCACGTCGTCCGAGCCGCCACCATTTGCACGCGGTGCTCCTGAGGACGAGAACTCTGTTGGGGGTTTGCTTAACGTCCCGGAGCTACATGAACATGCCTGTTCGCGTCATACCGCTTCCCGATTTGGAGCTCAGCGGCGATGTTGTGTATGCAACAATAGAGTTGCACGTGGAACCGAATACATTCGTTGTCCTCGGGGTTGTCGCTTTGTCGCGTGTGGTCAGTGCGTGTGGCCCGCCGCAGATCAGGTTGCTGTTCAGAATTTTCGGGGCGGCATGATGCGGGTTGTGGTGCTGGCGACGTGCCGCAAGTAGTGGAACCTGTCGTCCAGAATCGCTCGGGGCCGCATGCTGCAGGTTCTAGCGTTTGCGATGCTCCAGCGTCCACTGCCGCGGGCGCCGCTCCGCAACTCACCCATTTCACACGGTTTTTGCGCCTTCCGCGAGATGAATATGTTCAGCGTGTACAAAGCATGATTGACGCACATGCTTTTGATGACATCGGCCAGCCAAACTTGCGTATTGAAGGCCCAACATCATGGGGAGTGTGGCTACGCATTAGTGAACCCAGTCGTTCTGAGTCCGGCAGACCTTGTCGGATTAGATGTGGAGTTCTGTACCATGTAGCTCAAATGAAAGTCTACTTCCATGGGGAGGAACAGGCGACCCGTCAAATGTTGTTGCCTCTCTTCGAGCCTTGGACATACGTGTCTTTGGATGCTTGTCCTGATCGACGGCCCGGCGCAGAGTTTCATGTGCCACGTCCGCTTATTTTGGACGGTCCTGTTCCCAGTTCTGTTTCCAATGTCCCTTCCTCAGCTGATTCGGTTCCGTGTTCTGAGGCACATCCTGCAGGCCCGCCAACTCCGGCGGCTTGTTTGGCAACTCGTGCTGGTGGGCCTGCTGCGCCAACAGTTGCAACAATTCCGGGTTGTGATCCACACGCGCCTGCTGAAGTCCTGTGTCCCCCAGTGGTGTCGTCCGGTGATGAAAATGCTACGGCTGCGGCTGGAGTGCCTTCGGCCAACTCTCACTGGGCATTGTTGTCGCAGTTAGTTGGGCAACTGGTGGAGCACCTGGTTGATCCTGTGAACCATAACCGCAGCCATTGCTCCTTTGCCCAGTGTCCCCAGTTAAATACACCCGGGTGTATCTCAAACATGTGCACTCAGCATTGTGTGAGTCAGGAATGCGCTGTTCATCAGTGCAGTGTGCACGGCGACGGTTGTGTGCAGCGCGGTTGCCAAAACTTGATGTCTCCCCGTTGTGTGGCCCGGCGTTGTGCGGATCATTGTGATTCTGGGCATTGTCGTGTGCATAGAGGCTCACATGGCCCAGCAGGACATGCGTGCCAGTCATCGGCCCCTGTTTGTAGACGTTCTGGTTGCGCTAATCTGATTTCAGCCTCCTGTGTGACTGGATACTGTCCAAACCATTGTGTGAGTCGGCGATGTTCTTGTCGCAGTTGCACAGAGCATGTCGCGAGAGACGGTTCGTGGCAGCCGGCTGTGTCCTCCAGAGCACGGGCTTGCAGGCATATGAGTTGTACTGCCTTTGTTCTACCTACATGTCGTACAGGTTTTTGCACTGCTCATTGCACCAGTTCACGTTGTTCTTGTTGTGCACGCCGCTCTCGTGATCCCCCGCCCCCTGCTGCGGGCACCCGCGTGCCCGTGCCAGGTCGCACGTGTCGAAACATGCAGTGCCGCCGTCTTGTAGACCAACATTGTCAGACGGGTTTTTGCCCGCACCACTGCCGTAGTCGAGCGTGCCCGTGTCATGTGGGTGTCCACGCATGTCATAATAATGACCCTCCCGTTCCACGGCAACCGCGAAATGGAACAGGGGATGTTGCAAGATCTCGCACTTGCAGGAACCGATCTTGTCATAACGTTGTTGATGTTGCGTGCGCTACAGGTTTCTGTCCGGAACATTGCACAAGCCCACGATGCAGCTGTCGCAACGCACGAGCAGCGGCGCCCCACGACTCTGTGCGTTCTGCTCGTTGTCGCCGTAGGGATTGCCACAACCAACCTGCGGCATCGTGCCGTACAGGACATTGCCCTGATCACTGCTTGAACCGGCGATGCTGCGCAGGCGGAGGCTCGGGTCCTCGGTCTCTTCGACATTCTCCCACGGCTGATCCGTTAGGTGAGTTTTTGACTGAAGCGTGCGGGAATCTTCCGCCTGACCACGCCTTGCCCCCCGATTTGCAAGCCTCGGCTCACGTGCTCCGTTCAAGGGTCGCCAACACGGGAAACGTTCGCGGTCCTCGCCGTCATCGCCAACACGGCGGGGACCGAGCCACATAAGCTTGGCTTTACTGAACGCCAATCGCTTTTGGGCGCCCAGTGGATCAGAGCATGCGGGTTTTCATGGGTTTGTTAGAATCTTGCGTGCTCACGACGTGGATTGCGTGTGCCTACAAGAAACTTGGGCAGTCAATGGGGGCGCCTTGCCAGTCGATCAGCCGTATCAGTATGATGGCCCTTCTGATATTGGTGGCTGTGAGGCAGGCTTTCTTGTTCATCAAGGTTCCACATCGTGGTCATTCAATGTAGACACTTCTTACCATCGCATTCGTTGGCGATGCATTGCGTCATCTCAAAATGCTCCCGCGCTTTTGCTGTGTAGTTTTTATGCGCCGCACGTGGGTGTGCCGCTTCCCACACGCATCGACTTCTGGAGTAGGTTTCGTGCCTCCATTCAGGACGCTTTGCGGCACCACCCTCATGCGAATCTGGTGCTTGCAGGTGATTGCAACGTGTATCTTGCGGAAGTTATGGGCCCCGTGCGTGAAAGGTCTAATGAACCCCAGCTGCGTGATTTGATACGCGCCCTTTGTCATGATTTTGGTCTCCGCATTGCAAATCCACCACGCGTCTCTACGCATAGGTCCGGCTCGTGCATTGACATTGTTCTTGTTTCACGTCCGCTTGATGTTGTTGACATTGTCGTGCATGATGGGGACACGTGCGGTTGTCAACGTGACTCGTGTCACCCGATTGTGGGAAGCGATCACAAACTCATCACCTTCAAAATTGCTGTGCATCCGGAGGCGGATGATGTTGTTCCTAAGCCCTGGCCGCGTGTGCGGAACTGGCACTCAGTCGTCCAAGATTTGCATCCGCAACTGTTGCAATGGGCATCCAAGGTTTTGAATTTGTGCCAATGTGCGTTTGTTGCACAAGACATTTTGCTATATTGATGTTGGGGCGCTTGGAACATTTGCTGGAAGCAGGCCAACCAGAAGAGCAACATGGGTTTCGGGCACACTGGCGGATTGAAGAACATCTGCTCACTGCGAATTTGTTGGTTGACAAAACCTTGGCGAGCGGCATCCCCATTTGGATAATAAGCTTGGATTTGTCGAAAGCTTTCGATCGCGTTGATTGGCAATCTTTATGGAAGGCATTGCAGAGTCACGGTGTTTCTGGTCACTTGATTTGGCTTCTCCAATGTCTTTACCATGAACAATGGGGCGAAGTCCACGGCGATTCGGATCGCAGTCGTGCGTTTAAAATTCGTGCCGGCGTGAGACAAGGCTGCGTTCTTAGTCCGCGTTTGTTCTGTGCTGTTTTGGAATGGGCAATGAGCTCATGGAAGAACTTGGTTGGGACGGCCGGTTTTGATTTGGGAGATGGGTTGCGACGACTTCTGGACCTGCGATTTGCTGATGATATCCTTCTTTTCACCAAATCTAAAGAAGAAGCGCACTACACCCTGGATCTACTCATTGCAGCACTTGGTGAGGTTGGCCTCATTTTGAACGCCGAAAAGACGGTGATCATGACAACGGAAGCCCAGCCACCTCAGCATATTGTTTTAAGCAGCGGTCATCAAATCCATTTTCTGCCACGCAGTGCTTCTCACAGATGGCTTGGGTGCATGTTGTCAGCGGGCGGATCCCCGCAACAACATGAAGATGTCACCCACCACGTTGCTGCAGCTTCAAAATCCTTCTATGCAAACGGCTGGATTTTACGTGATCGCAACATTTCCTTGTCTAAACGATTGAAATTCTTTGATGCCGTTGTTTCGCCAGTGGCTTGTTTCGCAGCGGGACACAGAACGATTCACAAACCCGACCTGCACCGGATGGATGTTGAGTACAAGAGGTTGCTTCGTGCAGTGGTGGGACCACCTGGAAACATTTCATGGGATGACCCGTGGCATGAAACTCTTCATGCTTGGAACAACAAAGTTCGGAATGCCTGCCATGATAGCTCGTTAACAAACTGGAGGGAACAGTCATTGGCAAGTTACTGGAAATTGGCCACTTACATTGCAAATTTGCCACGTGATCGATTGGTGATTCGTGTGTTGGAATGGCACCCCCGACGTGTTCAGGCTGGGAGGCAGCCTAGCAATTGGGAAGATGCACTCATGATGTATTGTCGTTGGCGTCAATTGGGAAATTGGAAGTCCGCAGCTGTTGATTCAAAATGGTGGTTACGACAAACAGATGATTTCATTCATTTCGTTACAAAGCAATGAGCCGCGCAATTAGTCGTCGCATTTGATTGTTTCACTGCCTGCGCCTTAAATGGGCCGCCTTCGGGCATCAGGCTTGACCTTGACCTTGAATTTGCGTCAGGGTCAGCCCCTCCCCCTTCCTGAAAGGCGTGGCGTGCTGGACCTGCTGTATGCCGAATTCGTCGCTATAGTTTGGCAAGCCGCAGAGCCCCACGCTTCTAGTCGTTCTGGTGGCAACCGGCGTCCGCAGCCGGATTGGTGGGATGACGCTTGCCGCTTGCTACGAACTCCTTGTCGCTCGCAATGCGGCTTGGCGACAGTGGCGACGTGAGCAGACGTCCAGTGCCCGTGAAACCTTCCGCCAGAAACCACTGGAGTTTCATCATCTGGTTCGTCGCAAGAAATCGTCATTTTGGTCTTCCTGGCTCAATCGACAAGAAGGTCTGTCACGGTCCAATCCGCGGTTGGCTGCTCTTAATGTGCGTACGCAGATGGGTCAGAGTCACGGTGGCCTGCCGCGTTCGATGAGATCGGCGGGCCATCGGTTGGAAGGTGACCAATGTCTCGCCGCATGGCGTGATCACTTTCGCAATGTGCCATCTGTTTGCGATGGCCGGCTCCGGGCTGACGTAGCAACTGATTCTGCTTCGGCTCCGCATCCTCAGACATCACATCCCGCGCTGCGGCTCTGAGGCGGGATATGGCCTCTCTGTCCGGCCCTTTGGATTTTCCGCTCAGCGCTGCCGAACTGCAGCATGTTCTATCTCAGCTTCCGTCTCATCGAGCTCCAGGCCCGGATGGATTGCCATATGAGTTTTTTGCTGTCAAGGACGATGTCCTTTCTTCGGCTCTTTTGACGTTTTTTGAATTGGTGCGTCATTGGGCAGTTGTCCCGTCGATTTGGCGTTCAGCCCGTGTGAGCCCGCTGCACAAAGGCGGCCCTGCTGACGATTTCAATAATTATCGTCCCATCAGCCTCCTTTGTTGCAGCCTCAAAATCTTCGAGCGTTTGTTGCTGGCGCGGCTGCTTCCCAGGGTCGACCCGCAACTCGATGAGTGTCAAGCCGGGTTTCGCTGGGGGGCCGAGGAGCAAATCTACACCTTGGCCGAGACGCTCAGGCTGCGTGCCAGGAAGCGTACCTTCTGTGCTTTCGTGGATGTACGCAAAGCTTTTGATGTTGCATGGAGGGATGCGGTGTTAGTTAGGCTTGCGGAGACCGGCATTAGTGGTTCGATGTGGTCGGTAATTGCAGACCTCCTTTGTGAAACCACAGCTCGAGTCCGTGTGAATGGTCTGACTTCGCAGCCTTGGACAGAAACGGCCGGCGTGCGTCAAGGGAGCGTCTTAGGTCCGCTGCTTTTCAACATCTTGTTCAATGGTATTGCCGATGCTGTGCGTGCAGTATGTCCGGGCGTTGCGTTGGGCCCTGGCCCAAGCGCCCCTCGCGTGACACTTCTTCTGTACGCTGATGATCTGGTAATCTTGGCAGATGATGCAGCGACCTTGCAACGTGCCTTAGATGCTATCGGCAACTGGGGCGCACGGTGGCGTTTCTTTTTTGGGATTGGTCCCGAAAAAACAGCTGTGATGGTTGTTGGGTCCAGGCTCCTGAACTTCCACTTTTCCTTGCAGGGTTGTGCCGTCCCGTGCGTGCCACACTACACCTACCTGGGTGTTACATTCGCAGCCTCTCGAAAATGGCGTCAACATGAGACTCGGCTGCCACTCCACGTCAAGTATCGTCAACTTTCTTGAACTGGAGCTGGTAAATTTTTCGGTGACCAGCTGTCACGACGGCCTCGAAATAGTCCAAGCCCAAAATGCACGTGATGTTGCTTGCATATGGTGATCCAAATCCGCTGTCGCATGGCCTTTTGCAGACAAACAACATCGACATGTCTCCCGAAAGTACTTCAAAGCGTGTGTGTTGATCCAGCCACACCTCCTTCGGTGACTGCCCTTGCGTTGTGATCGCCACTGTGTTGGATGCATTCAAAACCAAACCCAAACGCTTCAAACATGCGAGAAGCGAACGAAGCATGTGCAAACCATACCTTGCGAAGCCCGCAAATAACAGTACGTCACCTGCAAGTCCGAGAGCAATGAATTGGTCACTGCCATCATGCAGCAAAACTCCGAGTTCCACCTGCTATATGCATATATATATATATATATATAAATTTTTGCTGATTTCTGAATGAATTAAGCAATTCTAACACGTGTTCAAAGTATGCATGGTGACTGTGGTAGTTGTATAGAGTGGAAAACATACGGCCGGAACGGTGTCACGGAGCTTGCGCAACATGGTGTCGCGGCTGATAGTGTCATATCCGCTGCGCCTGTGGTCACAAGGTCGAGCTCGACACCTGCGTGGAGCATCGCCGCCAAGCTGTCAAACAATGTCCGTTCGCGGGTCTGCAGCGCAACTGGTATGGGCGGGTGGCCTCATCAAAAGCCCCAGCTTATGCGTGTGCGAGAGCGGAAAACGACTGGCTGAAGACGGCCCGTGTAGCAATGCCTCACACGCCACCCCCTGGCTTGCGCTGAACAGTCAGGCGGGAAAAAGCGATCGTGTCTTGTGCGCTTGGCGATGTGCAGTGCCTGCGCACGGGCGCTGATCGACGGCGAACGCAAACGACTCTAGCGCCATCGCATCATCGAGGGGGATCTTGTACAGCTCAACGGCGGCGCCGCACACCTGCAGCTGACGACCCACGGTTGGCACTGTGCAGGGAGGTCGCTTACCTGCACGACGGTCAGGGTGACCTCCTCAGCGGCGTTGAACGCGAGGACATCCGGCGAGAAGGGTCGCAGGAGTTGCGATGAGCTGTGGCGGGAGCATGCGCCGCCGTCAACACGGGCGCGCAAGAGCTGGCCGCGCTTGCCTTTAGCGGGCCGAAAAGATCGAGGATGGCGGTGCCGCCATCCTCTTCCCTTCCGGACTGCTGGGGACCATTTTTGCACGCCTTGGCCTTGTATAGGGAAAAACGCGCGCGGGCTCTAGGCCACGGACATCCACGGACCCTAACAAAAAGCCTTTTGCCAGTCCTTGATGTCTGTACCTGGACCGCCCTGAGGTGTCCCAAACTTCCTGCCCCTGCATACGCGCGCGATCACGTCAGGTTGGAACAGCGGAGCCTCTGGGAAGGACCGTCCCCCAGATAAGCCTCCGCTCAATCACCGGCGTCTCGCGAGTGGACCGGCAGCTCACGCCGCGTCGGCGCGTGAGCTCACATGGCTGCTAGCGCCAACAAGGCCGTCCGGCGCCGCGTCATGTGTGTCATGGGAATGTCGTTGCTGCCTGCGCCCACGGGGCGCACGTTCGGCTGCGGACCCGTGTGAACCGGTGGATAAACGCTGAAGACGACAAGGCGGCATTGGGTCGGCCGATGGTGCAAAAATTGAACACCCATTGTCAACCACGACATGGCACCTTCGCCGCTTTGGGACAGCAACAGCGCTCGGGGTGCAGCATCCAAGTCGCAGAACAGCATCTCGAACGTACGATAACCGCGCGCTTGACCACATCAGCTTCGGCGCCGTGTTGCCATCCCGCTTTGCAAGGGCAAGGTGGCCGGTGGGGCCATTCCCTCCAACTGCCCACGTCGGCCTCATACCCCTTTGACCCCCTGACACCGGGCTCACCGGCTGCAAGCACATCCAACAAGGCCCGCAATAAGGTTCGCCGATGCCAATGTCACATGGAGCAGTTCCGTGCACCACGTCACCGGGTCGCGAAGCCGGACGTGCAGATGCCTCGCTGCCCTGAGCAAACCAACTAGGCGGATGCCCTCTCCACAAGGGCCGGCGCCGAGGCGCACGCGCACATTGCAGGCCCCGAGCTGACACTCCTGGCAGTTGATGATGCAGCCACGAGGCCATGTTGATTGCACTGCGCGGCAACTTCTGCCCTGCCAGTCCCTCTTCCTTGTGCACATGTGGTTTTCTGCTGATGTAGAGTTCTTTCGGGATTTGCAGCCAGCTGTCCGACGCGGCAAGCGAACTTTGGCAGCTTTGAATGACAACAAAGAACTTGCATCCTTGCATTCCCTGCCTTCTTTGAGTTCGTGCGTCATCAAACTGCTGTTCCTTCAATGTGACGTTCGACCCACGTGACGCCGCTGCACATGCTACACGAAAACGGCCTTGCTGATGATTGCAAATTTGCATAGGCCGAGATTTTGAGGCTGTGCGGGAAGCGCGCATCGGTAAAACAGCTCCAGCTGTGCGGGTACGTCCAGGCCGTATGCTGATGATCTGGTCATTTTGGCAAAAGTGGACTGGGCAACGCGCATTGGATGGAGGGTACGGCGACGGTGGCGTTCCTTTTTCGGAATTACAGCTACCGGGCATAACGCATTGCGCTACAGTAGCATTCTCCAGAATTCGCTGAACACTGCATACTGTCAGACTTGTGCCGCAAGACTCAAGCAAGCAAGCTCAGGGAAAAACCTCGTTTGGGAAAAAAACCCTGAGCTCCACCGACCTGCAAACTATACAGACCAGCGAGCCTGTGCGCACACCCCACTGCCAAGAGACAAGCGGAAACCCAACACACCACACCACACCCAAGCCAAAACCAACCAAAAACCCAAAGCACCAACCCAAGAAAAACCCAAGCAAAGGAAAACCAAAAGAAGACCCAGCACGAACCCCTGGCAGAGAGGAGGGCGAACAACTGGAGCAGTTGCGGGCGGTTGGAAAAGTAGCGGCCCTGCTGGAAGGCTCTGCAACAAACATTGGAAGAATCCCCTTACACGAGCTTACACGCAGGCCCCTCAAGGCAAAACATGCGGATGGTCCCCGGAGGTTCAATCTTGACGAAAATTGTCGTCGTTGGCCACCAACCAGAGGGACTGTTGCCCAGAACTCTGCCTACAGCCCACAACTTGCGCTTGGCCTGCGAGTGCAGCAAGTATGCCAAATTCAAGTTTCACACATTGTCGAGATTTGGGGCGGCTTGGATAATGGGCCACAAGATTTGACGTTCAGGGTAGGTGTATCGGAAACCAAGAAAGGGCATCACGAATCACAAAACCAGGTCGAACCGCACCAAGCAAAATGTAACGAAAACTAGGCGCGGGAGCAACGCATAACAACGAACGGAAACCAACCCCTAACCCGGTTGCGCGTCCTTTCCGTTACGATCACTAATTTCCATTAAATTCTTTTGCGTATATTCCTGTAAACTCACCAGTCTCGTGCAGGTGCAGGATGCATCTATCAATGTTGACCGCTTTTGGCTTGCATGCTGTGCATCCACAAACTTCTGGCATATTGAATCTTAGGCTTGTTTAGGGGCCTTCCTCTCTAGGATTTAAGACCCCCCCCCCTCTTTAGGGCTTAGGAGATTGGAGTTTGTGAGTCAAATTACGGGAAGAAGATTTAGGGATCCTGCTATTTAGTCAGTAAAGTTCGTGTGTTTGTGGTTTAAAGGGGGCTCTCACAGACCTGAAAGGGATCAGAAGGGTCTGTGCTCACTGGATGGATAACAGTGACGGGCGAGCTCTCAGGGCCCGCGCTGCGACCGGGAAGGACACTGGCATCGGGTCTGAGGTTCCTTGCTGTTCCCTGCTTTAGTGGCGAATAAGGACCCTTAATCCGAAAAGGCACCGCGACGTACCCGGTCTGTCTGAATGCCAGACTCCCACCCAGTCGCAAACCAGGCCCCCAGGTGTCCCACCCTCTTTAAGATTTAGGGAACATTAGGGGGTAAACTTAAAGGAGTAAGATTTAGAGATTCAGCTCTATAGGATTGAGAGAAGATGCAAGGAATAAATGACGTTCATATTGTAGGATTCAGGGGCTTCGGGCTTAGGGGAAGAAGACTTCAAGGATAAGGGCCTGTTCAAGGCAACAGGACTAGAATTTAGGGACTAAGACTGACATCGAAGTGCGGACCCGATTCAAGTTGAATCGGCCAATGAAATTTGAATCGGTATTGGGGATTGAAAATTGTAAACGGACGATTGCCAGAAAGACCCTGGCGACCACCTCAGAGGCTTTAGGGTTTAAGTTAAGGGTTAGAGGTTTCCAGAAAGCCTAAACTTGTAAGCGTTACGAGCGCGAATCCATCTTCAATGCCTCGTGGCTGGGCCAAAGTTCCTCCACTGTGAAGAATCCTCGAAAAGCAACACCCATGACACCCGCATCAAAAGAAACACGAAATCAAAACATCCTAAGACCCAAGCGATCCCAGTTCGGAAGTCGCACCTGCAAAGCCTGAACAACAGGCTGCCAACCGCGTCACAGCGGTGCCAACTGCGTTTCGAGGATTTTTTTGCTGGCCAAGGAGTCTCAAGCAATTTCGGTTCGATCAATACCACATGCACAAGCCCACCAGATCGCTGGAAGCTGACCTCCCAAAACCTTCGGCAACATGAATGACTCCCAGAACGAAACGAAAAGTTGCGTCCTTTAATCATGCTCATGGTCATGCTGATAACACACTGCATATGGTTCGATGCGATGTCATATCGGGTTCGGCCTGCGAAAGGCTGCCAGACCTGTCAAACCATCACACAACACCATCATACCTAATTGACACACACTCCACCACCTGCCGTATGCCAAGTGCCCTGCTGCAGCGTGTCGCGAAGCTTGGTGCTTGGAACCGGTCCTTGCTCCTGAACTACACTGAAGTCAGTACAACTGTACGAAGCAACAGCCATCAAGGCCAACCAGTCCTGGCCATATTCGTCCCTGAAATACCATGGCAAAACGCTTTGCCTCATGCCATGGCCTGCAAACAACGG